GAGGGGGTGTGTGGAACGATTGCGCCAAGCAGCCGGAAGGCTGGTTGGAATGACCCTCAGACCTTCCGGATAGCAGGAGGGTGCTCACCTGCCTCTGGACTTGAGCTGCGCAGAGCCAGGCTCCACGCAGGCTAGGTATCCGCTCCCCTCCCTCCTTCCCCGGCCCATTCCTACGGGCCCAGCTCTGAACTCCTAGGGACTAAGCTCAGCCAGCCCCTTCAGTCTCAAGACCTCCCAAGGCCCTGCACCTTGAACGAAAAGTTCTGACTGCTAGATGGGTCCACTGAGGCCCCACTGCCCACTGAGGCCCGGGCAGGAGGGCCTGGCTCACCTCGGCCTCTGCTCTGCCTGCTCCGCTCCCGCTTCCGAGGGTGCCCTGCTCAGTGAGGACGGAAAGCTTAGAACTGGCTCCTTCGTTCTATGGGAGCTTTGCCTCTGCCTTCCACCTTCAAAGCCACCATTTTCTCCTGGCTGTCCTGACCCCTGCCCAGCTAGAGAGTGGGAGAAGTAGCCTCATTCTTCTCAACACCCCACACTGTGGCCTCCCCCCAGGGTTCATCAGCTGGGCCTCACAGAGCTCCATCAGAGCACAGCACTGGAGGTGGGGTGGAATCCATCTCCCCAGCACCACCACTCCCCCAGCCCACTTCCTGTGACCAAAGGCAGGACCTGCGGTCTGGGGGTTGGTCTTCTCCTAACCAAAGAGCCCCTCCCTGTGTGGGCAGAGGTGTCACAATAAGGGGGGTGGCTCTGCATCCTGCTGCTCCTCGGCCTCGGTTTCCCTGCGAGGATGCCTTGCTGCGAGACGCCGGCGACTTGGGTTCAGCTCCCGTGTCACGGTGCACGTGTGCTCCAGTGGGTTTTCCTGACTCTCCTCTTCACGGAGGCAGATCGCCAGACCTCGGGCCCGCAGGTCACCATGGGGGCTCACGGGAGGGAGCGGGCTAGAGGGAGTTCGGTTAGTACAGCCCCGGACAGGGGTGCCTTCAGGTCTTCACTAGAACCGGGGGACTCTGGGGTGGTGAGTCCGCACGTATGGTTGGAGCATCGTGAGGTGGGCTTCCCCACGCGACGTAGAGCTGCTAGTACCTCTGAAGTGGGACTGCTCTTAGGTCCATAGACATTTGCCTGGATGGAGTGTCCAGAGGTGGGTACCAGCATGCCACTGACATCTGGGAAAGAGGTAGCCCTTTAGGTCAGCTATGGGGCTGCGGGCCCTGACTCGTGATCCAATGACCGTCTATCCAGGGGACTTTGGGAGCATTGGGGCTGGCACAGGACTGAGCCCAGCCTGCGTCCCCCCAACAGGCTTTCCACCAAAGGGGTGGACTGGCAGTGAGCTGAGAGATGCTCAGGCCCTCCCCGGCATGACCAGGAAGTCAGGTAGGACACAGGAAGTTCCCAGAGTGGCTCTGCTTTCCAATTCCCAAATGGGAAGGACAAGGGATTGGTTGTGACATGTCTGGGTCACGACTGTCCTGGGCAGGGACCAGAGAGAGGCCCTCTCCAAACAGATCACAACTGGATGTGGGCAGGGGCCTCTGACCAGTCCTCCCCAACCTCAGCACTCCACTGAAAATGCACTGGTCCTCGGGGGAGAGGATGAGAAGAAACTCTGCACAGGGACCTAGAGGGTCTGGCTGCCCCAACCTCCAACCCCTGAGGGAGCCCTGTCAGACCCACCACCACCAGGGTGACCCATCGGAGTAGACTCAGCACCCAGAAGCCCGGCCTCTGAGGATCTGGTCCTGCCGGCTGACGTGTGCTGGCCCTTTTCTGTGAAGGAGCACAGCCGTGCGAGGTGCCTGTCGCTTCCTGCACATCCCTCAACAGCCTCACTCGCTCTGGGTGTCAGATAAAAAGGCCAGCATTCAGCTTTGTCCTCACACCCACACCTGTGAACCCCAGAGCACGAGTCCTGGGGAGTCAGAGCTGCCCCACCTCCTGCTCTGCTTCTGCCCCCAGAGGGCTTGCAGTCCTCCCCGGAGCCCAGCTGGGTAGCACCACTTCCTGCTGTGGGCCAGGTCTAGGCTGGGGCATCTGTCCTCCCCTGGGCCCCAGATGCCAAAGATGGGCGATGCAGAGGCTGAAGAGTCGGGGCTGCCGTGGCCAGCTCCTGGCCCGCAGCTGTTGGGGCATCCGCAGAGCTCAGGGCTGCCCAGCATGGAGGTGGGGGAGGTGGAGGATGAGACCAGGGGACCCAGTAGTCGTAGGGGGGGAGGAGGCTTGTGGGATGCTCTTCCAGAGGGTCAGGCACAGTGTGGGTGCTCAGTGAAGCTGGCTTTCTTCTGTGTCCTCCCCCTGTCACCTGCTGAGGGACCCAGGCTCAACACTCCAGACCTTTGAGTGGACTCCCCCGAGGCCATGCGCATCAAGGCATTGGCCAGTCTGGCTGGCTGCCCAGCAGAGCGCAGGTCACGATTCTGGGGAATGCTGAAGGAAGCTTTCCGGGCCCACTCCCCCGCCACCACCAAGACCCACCCCCTTGCATGGGGTTGTGGCCGAGGCATATCAGCCCCAGCCCGGTCTGAACCCTGGAGGTGGAGGACAGGCGCTCCTGCAGGCACTCTGGGCCACCCAAGGGGCTGCTGGGTGCTGGGGGTGTGGCTGAGCAGACGTCTGGTGCTGGGAACCTGGGGTCTGAACCCTCTCACCAAGACCCTCTCCCTTCACAGGTCATGCTGGGCCGGCACGCCCCGCTGCTCACTCTACTTGGGCTGCTCTCCCTGGGGTCCGGTGAGTTGCAGGGGCGGGGTGGTGGGTGTGGGGGGAGAATGGGAGTTACTGAATTCAGGGAGACTGGGCAGCACCTCCCACACTCTGGGGCTTAGTCTCCCCACATCCCACATGCCAGGAGAGGGGTCTCATGTTCCCCAACCTCCATTCAGGACCACTCTCCTGAGACCCTCCCCCTGCCCATTCCTGCTCAGTCTCCTGACAACCCCCGCACCCCACCCTGCCGAGAGCTTAGCCCTGGATACAGCCTTGGTTTCACACACACACACACACACACACACACACACACACACACACACACACCATGCTTACCTTTGGTCCTCCTCAACCCACCGCCCTGTGGCTCCAAGTCCCGCACGTGCACGCCAATGCCCACGTCTGCCCCTCACTGCACTGCGCCTGGTCGGATGCCCTCTGTGTTTCTGGGTGTCTCTGGTAGAACAGCTACCAGCATCTTAGCTCACCAGACCCAGGACAGAGCTTCAGGGCCGGACCCCAAACACCTGCGCCCCTCTCTCCCCTGGCACAAGCATCACCCATGCCCCCCAGATCCTCTTCAGACCTCACACCTGCATCTACCCCCTTGGTAATTGCTCCACTCCCTGCCACACTCCCCGAATCCCAGGACTTCTCTTACATCTGTCTCTCGCCTCATGCGTGTGCCTACCCACTACCGTCTGTCCCCGACAGCTGCAGTGCCCCTGGGTCTCCTCCCAGCAGCCAGCAGGACCCTCTTGGAAGCCAGCAGGACCATCAAGAATAGTCCTGCCAGACTGCTTAGAGCCCTGAGTCTCCCAGAATCCCACTCGAGAGCCTCGTCCAGCCCCCTGGCCAGCTCCCTCTGTCCTCACCGAGACCTGCCCACCTGCTGCTGTTTCTGCTCCCTCCCAACTTCTCACACTCCCCACTGTGCCCACCTCGGTCCTTTGCTGCAGACGGTTCATGGATGTCTCTGGAGATGTCCAAGTCCCCTGTCTGCTGCAGTGGGGCAGTCAGCTTGGCTGGGTGGGGGAGCGGGGGAGAGACTGCCCTCCCTCCTCCTCCCATTCAGCATGAACTTGGTCCAGGCCTGTGACCCCCTGCTTCACCCCCCTTGCCCCCAGTCTCTCCCCAGGAGTGCACCAAGTACAAGGCTAGCACCTGCCGGGAGTGCGTGCAGATGGGGCCCGGCTGCGCCTGGTGCCAAAAGCTGGTAAGAGCTGTGGGACTCGGGTGAATGATAAACATCCCTTTCCCATTGAACACGCTCCCAGCCACTGGGCCTCTTGGGGATTCTCCCTGAGTCCGATAGCACTGTGTCGGCAAGATGCTGCTGCCCAGATGCCGTACACCCTCCTGCTTTTAGTAACAGACATTCTCATGGGACGGTCTTTTCCTTCTTTCTAATGTCTGTCTGTCTGTCTGTCTCTCATCATTATCATCTGTACATTTCACTTTTCTCTCTGGATGGATGGCTTACCGGTGTAGTCCTGTGGGTTCTTTATTTTATTCAATACATAATCATTTTGGTTTTCAAATGTGTATATTCAGGATTGTATATCTCCCTCCTTTCTACTTGCATTCTGTTCAGCTCTTTATGTTTAACACAAAACGTGGCATTTTAAGTGCCCTATCCCATGACATTATATTTCCTGTGCTGTGCAGCTGTCACCACTGTTTATTTCCAAAGTTTTTCATCCCCCTACACACACACACACACACACGAACAACTCAGTATCCAGTCAGCAACAGCGCCCCTTCTCCCCTTGCCCACCTCTGCTCTGCAGTGGTCTCCACGCCTCTGCATGGTTTTAGATGGCTTAGGCAGCGGTTCTCAACCTGTGGGCCGCGACTCCTTTAGGGATCGAACAACCCTTTCACAGGGGTCACCCGTTTCATCACAGTAGCAAAATGACCATTATGAAGTGGCAACAAAAATAATTTTATGGTTGGGGGGGTCACCACAGCATGAGAAACTGAATGAAAGGGTTGCGGCATTGGGAAGGTTGAGAACCGCTGTCTCAGAGGCTCATGGGATATTTGTCACTTGGTGACAGACTTCCTGTGCTCAGTAGGCTGTTTTCAAGGTCCATCTCTGTCATAGCACGTGCCTGTGCCTGCTTCTCTAAGGAGCACTGGTGACATGGGAGGTGACTCACTGGACTGAGAATAGCAAGGTCAGCAGTTCAAACCCACCAGCTGCTCCATAGAGTTACAGGCTCCAAAACCCACCAGGGCAGTTCGACTCTGTCCTATAGGATTGCGATGAGTTGGAATCAATTCAGTGGCAGTTGAGTTTTTGATCACCGCTTCGTTTTGATGCTTCAGTTGTTCTTGATAGGGCCTGTGGGAACCCCTCCATGCTGGCTCCTGTGCCCCCACCATGCTGTGAGCCTGTTCTTGCTTTCCCCTGCCCCAGTGTTGGAAAGAAACATTCAACAAGGAATCTCTGTTCCTTTTCCTAAGAAACCTGTCTCCCAGCTTTCTCAGTCCACAGACAGCAGCCCCCGGGCACGAGCCTACTCAGCACCACAGCAAGCCTGCCCGTGGGAAGGAGGTGTGTGCCTGTACCCCGCTCTCTTTCCCGGAGGGAGGGCTGTAGCCAAGCCCGGGGTGCAGCCCCCCACCCCTTCTCTTCGGAGAGGTTTCTTTTCTTTGGTTTAACTGGGTGAGATTACAAAGCAGGTCAGCCTTCTCGTCCGCGATTCACATACATTTTGTTTGATCTCATGCATGACAATCCCCTGATGTACCAGTCCTCAGTCCCTGCCCTGTGTATCCCGCCTCCAGTCCTCCTCCTCCTTCTGGTCTTTTGCCTTTGCCGTGGGGCACCTGCCGCCCTTTGATCTCAAATGACTGATTGTCCTATGGTGTGCCTGCCTCACAGTGCTGTTGTTCCTCTCAGTGACCTGTCGTTTGGCTCAAGATTGAGGACCGGGGAGTCCAATTCTGGGCCTGGAGGGTGACGAAGAGCCGCAGTCTTGGAGGTTCCACCGTCTCTAGCTGACCAGAAAGCCTGGTCTTTTACTACACTCTCGAGTGTTGTTCCACTTTTTTGGGGGGGTGTGTGTGTGATTATTTTATTTCTTTGAAATCCCCAAACCAAAAAACAACCCCACTGCCACGGAGCTGTTTCTGACTTGCCCTGGCCCGTGGGGTGGTCGTGGAGACTGTGCACCCGGAAGGAAGCAGACTTCTTTCTCCCATGGAGAGGCGGGTGGCTTCAAACTCCCCTCCTCTCACTTAGCAGCCGGTGCCTCACCCACGGCTCCACCAGAGCTCCCTATGTGGAACGTCATTAGCTTGATTGATGTCGGTGTACATTGCATTTTCTATTTTTCCCCCTTGCCCATCTTTGCTGGTTGTTTTTGGGAGGTTAACGTGTTGGCCTCTTCTAGAAGTCAAGGCGGTGCAAAGAGACATACCCAGGAAGTGTCACCTCTCACTCACTCCCCCGCCTCCTCACCCACTCCTCTCACCAACTGTCAGTAACCAACCTCACCCTCCCTGCGGGTTATCGCTCCTGGGCTTCCTTTCTTCTGGGTAAACAGCTGCTTGTCCTCAGCTGCAGTGACTTGGCCTGACTTTGGCGACATTGTGCAAAAACAAAACTCCTCCCTGCCTGGCCCTGCGCCCTCCCCATGCTCCGTTAAGACTTAGACCCGCTGCATTCCTGAAGTTTTCACCGACTGCCTTTTGAAAGTCAGTCCCCAGGCTCTTCCCTTCCAACCTTATTAGCATCCTAGCAACAGGAAAGCCTCCACACGGAGAGATGAGGGCGGGCTGTGCATGAGACGCTGGGAACTGGAACCTAGCCTGGCCCTCTCACGGAAAGTGCATCTTGAACCACCCTGTGTTGTCCCCCCCCACCCCCCATGTTTAGCAGGACTGCTGGGTAGCACTACCAGCTAAGCAGTCTACCACTAACCAAATGGTTGGCAGTGTGAAGCCACCCAGCACCACCTCAGTGGGGCCACCGCCTTGAAGTCTCGATGTGCACACAGCCCTATTTTGCATGCTGGGCATCATCATCAGACACAATCAGGTGGAGAACAGCTAACCCTAGGGGCATGTTTGCCATCCCCTCCATAAAGGGCCTGGGACCCACTGAGCATCCTTTCCTCATTCCTCCTGACCCGTCCGGTGAGGGGCTTGGTAAACAATACGATTGCCCAGTAAGCAAGGTCAATCCAGGCTTCCTTGCGCTCACTTACTAACTGTAGATGTCTGGGTTCTCCCTCGCTGTCAGGGATCATCAACCTGAACAGAGGTTGGATTCTGTAGGAAGGTGCCGTGGGATCAGGAGAGAGACGGCTGTCAGCCAGACCTACAGGCAGAATCTAGGGTATGGTGAGAACAAAACAAAACAAGCCATGAAATTGTTCCCTAAACAAACAAACAAAATCACCGCCATCAAGTTAATGCCAACACATCATGACACTTTGGACAGGGTGGACCTGTCCCTGTGGGTTTCACGGGAGTCGCCTTTATGGGAGTCTCTCTTCCTCTGAGAGACTGGTGGTTTCCAACTGTTGACCTTGCAGGTCAAAGCCCACTGTGTAACTGTTAGATCTCTCTGTAGCTAGATATACCTCGGTCCTTGGCTCCGCGCGAGAAAGAATTCACGCCGAAGCCTGGATCGTGATCCAAGTGAGTCTTATGAAAGTTAGAAGTTTTCAGGCTTACACCGCACCGATGGGGTTCCTCCCGAACATGCGGCCTGGTTGGAAGCTGCTCGGAGTCACGCAAAAGTGTCCCAAAGTCCTGCGCCACTCTCGCGGCTTCATTCTGATGCTCAGGTGGTTCAGGATTTGGCCACTGGGAGGCCAAGTCCATGTCATCTGGGAGCTGTGTGGCGAGGTCCGTCTGGGAGGCGGCTGTCTGTCTCTGTGTCCTGAGGGCAGTTGAAGGGGGGCGCTACAAATGTGACATCCATGTTCTCTCTGCCCTCCTCCTGGGCCCCTCTGTCCCCCAGAACTTCACTGGGCGTGGGGAGCCCGACTCGGTTCGCTGTGACACCAGGGAGCAGCTGCTGCAGAAGGGCTGTGTGTCTGACGACATCGTGGACCCCAGCAGCCTCGTGGAGGTCCAGAAGGACAAGGCCAGGGGCCGTGCGCAGCTGTCCCCGCAGAGAGTGACGCTTTACCTGAGACCAGGTAGGCTGTCCTTGGCAGGCAGGCTGGACCCCTGATTCCTGCGCATGCTGCTCCAGAGTCTGGCCAGGCTCAGCTAACCCTGCTCCCGGGTGACAGGCTTGTGTTGGGAGGGGCGGCCGGGTGAAGCAGGAGGCCGGGCCTCGGCGCTCCTTCACTTCTGAGACAGAGGCCCCACGGTAGCCCCACTCCATCTGCATCCAGCGGCTGATTCTCCCTGCACCACCAGTCTGCGTGGACATGCTTGTGCAAGACACGAAGCAGACACCGTGCCCGCTGCCACCCCCTTGTTTCCGACTGGCGGAGGCCCTAAGTGAAGCGTAGCTCTACTGGGCGAGGGTCTTTAAAGAGGCAGGGCACCAGGCCTTTCTTCCTGGGCACTTCCGAGTGGGTTTGAACCACCAACCTTCAGATTAGGGACCCCATACACCCAGGGTTTGGGACATACTTTTGCTGAAAAGTCCGTGAGGGGTATAAGCTGAGCTCGACGATGAACCTCTATGTCAGCAGCGTGAACTCACAGCAGGGCCACGGGGAAAGGGGGCCTGGGACCCTGTTTCTGTCAAAATTGCAGCCAACGTAGCCCTGCAGAGCGGTTCTGCTCTGTGCCGCATGGGGTCACCGTGAGCGTCAGACTGGGTCTGATGGCCGACAAGATTCTCTGGTGTGATGCCCAAAACGTCAGTGCTATTTTCCCATCACTCAGACCTCCCCGGGCACCTGCGTCTTACCTGCCACACTGGGATCGTAGGAGACAAGCTGGGGACTCCTGGAAGCTGGGCATCTGGGCAGGATGCCCTGTGGCCACACGCCTGCCTGGAGGTCCCAGGGAGCGAACCCCGGTTGGTCTCCACGACCTCGTCCTCTGCCCTCTCCCTGGCAGGCCAGGCGGCCGTGTTCAATGTGACCTTCCGGCGGGCCAAGGGCTACCCCATCGACCTGTACTACCTGATGGACCTGTCCTACTCCATGCTCGACGACCTCATCAACGTCAAGAAGCTGGGCGGAGACCTGCTCAGGGCCCTCAACGAGATCACCGAGTCGGGCCGAATCGGTGAGGTCCGGCAGACAGGGCATGCGGGTTCAGGCCTTCCCCAGTCCCACCCCCCGCCCCACGTCCACATATCCATCTATCCTATGGGGGAAGAGGGGCCCTGGGGGACCCGAGGCCCAGTACCCACATCCTGAGACTTGCTGGCATGGTCCAGCCCCTCCACGTGCTCTATGCTCTCCCCTCCCCTCGATGGATCTTTGACATTGCTGAAGGATGCTGGCTTCCCATGCGATCAAAGCATGAAAGGATACCAAGGCCTGTCAGTTACAAAGTAGTCACAGAGGTAGAGAGAGAGTCACCACAAGCCCTGAGTAGCCCCGTTGTGCCCGGCGGAGGGGCACAAGGCCCACGGACGGGAACCAGCCCCGTCGGGAGACAGGGACGATGCACACACGGTGTCGCACAGGCCTCCCAGCCAGGTGCCTGACCAACCAGCGTGCACACAGATTCCCCCGCACTCACGCACCAGCACACGCTCCATCGTGCGTTCCCTCCTGCCTTCTCTGCTCTCCTCCACCTGACGGGACGTTCTGCCAGCCTGCCTCACACCACACCTCCCTGGCCTGCACCACGCAGCCCTGCCTCACACCGTGTCCCCTCAGCCACCAGTCTCTGCACAGACCGCATGCCCCTCACCTCACACCAGGCGGCACAACTCCTGATGCACGTCCCCACTTCCACTCCTCAGAACTCATGGCCCAGGTTACACCGTGCCGTCTCTCACACCATAGCCCTTGAACTACATGGCCGCTCACACCATGGCCTCTCTCACCGTGTCCTCTCACACCGTGTCCTCTCTCACC